AATAAGAGTGAAGAGGGCTTCACTCTTATCTCTATATATACTATCTAACTAAGGGCTATGTGGCAATGTTCTGTAGGACTTCCAATATGTGTTGACTTTGTAGGACACATGCCTTGTCTTACAAAGCAAGGTTTTTTAAATGCGAGCTACATAGTTAGCTTGGTCTTCAAGCTAACAACATGTGTGGCACATGGCCAACTTGTTGACCACGTTTCTAATCCTAAAAGTCAATTATAGACATCTATAAAATCAAAGCAACATCTATGAAGCTTCTAGGAAGTTTTCATAGAAGATATTATAAAATTAACTTATTTTTACCTAATTTTACTTACTTCTACCTATTTATACAAATAATTATTAGCTTACATGCATATGTTTGTGACACAATGATAGTATTCAAGTAAATACTAGCTATTCACCATTTTTTCTTAATATTGATCAACATCTTATTACACTTACAACTTTTCATCATCACATTGACACCAAAAACTCAACCATAGAAGAGTTTATATGATAGCTTATAATGGCCTTACAAGAAATATACCACCTCTTTTTTTATCATAAAAATTTGATAGAAGTAATATGTAGATAACCATTGGCAATGCAAAACCTTTTGGAAGGATGATCTAGTGTTACTCTCCAACACCAACTTGTTGCTTGCTACATCAACTAAAATTCATAAATTGACATCTTAGTAGCTTGGATCTTTCTACATTTCTATAGTGATTTTTGATGTTGCATACTACCTCAAGCTTCCATCACATATTCAGGTCTATTCTATCTTTCACATTTCACAATTGAAAAAATTTTATACCAAGCCAAAGTACTTTTTGGATCAATACTAACCACCACTACCACTAGTTGTAGTTGATGACCAACAAAAATATGAAATAGATAGCATTTTAGAACATTGATATCTTCACTATGGCAGTGGATATCTACAACTTCAGTACAAAGTTCTTTGGAAAGGTTATTCCATTACCAATGCAACCTGAAAATCTACACTAAACCTCATCTATTACTTAGAGACATTTTAGATATACCATTGAGAACAAAACAAAGACGTTCCATATTAGTGGAGGAGAATTAACTATAACAAGATATAAATAAGTTATTTGTATTATTGACACATAGCAATAGATAATTAGAACCATGTTTGAGAAGTTATAAAAGCTTTTAGAATTGGGGCTAGGTTAGTAGATTAGGTGGGACCTATTGTGGAACATTCTAGAAAGATCTTAGGATGGTTATCTAAATAGGGTCTATTATGGAACCTTCTAAAAAGGGCTTAGGTAGGTATTTAGATGGAGCCTACCATAGAACCTTCTAGAATGAATTAAAGGCAGTTATCTAAGTGAGGTCCATCATCTAAAAATATTCTAAAAAGTCCAAGGTGATAAAACAAATTATAAATAGGATTAGCCAAGGCCTTTTGGATATCTGAACAAGTATAACTTGAGACCTTTTTTCTTAATGAAATTTGATTTTGTAACTTTTTGTTCAGTTCTATTTTATTTTATTTCTCTTTGTTTAATTTTGTCTTTTGTATCTTATTCTTTTTAGTTCTATTTAGTCTTGTTTTGGTCCAATTTGTCCTACTTTGTGATAAAATTTTATGTTGTTGTGGATTAAAAGGGTCTAAGACTCTCGAGATAGATTAGTCTTGTTTCATTTTCAATACATACATTCAAAAATAAAAGACATGTAAATTAATGTAATATGTTTTAAACCTCTTAGTAAGCAAGGAAAGAATTATCATAATCAAGAAGGATTGTGCTTATATTATGGAGAATCTAAGCACATTGTTCAATGCTATTCAAAGAAGTGACACAACTACAAAATAAAAAAATATGGTTGTCAAAAAAAATATTATTTTAGAAAACAAGTTTATCCAATTATAATAGAAACTATATGATTGGTATCTTGTACAACACCTATTGAAGGTCCTATTTTTTTCTTTAGAATCCTCTTTTTGTTTCACAATCGATATTTGTTTAGGACCTAAAAATCACAATTTTTTTTCTCTTATTAGATTCAAAAGCCTCAACTTATTTTTTAGATATATAGTTTGTTAAAAGTCATAGTAAATTTTTAATATGAAAAAATAAATTTATATATGTAAATATCATAGATGGTTGTTTGTTATTTTTTAGGAATTTTTCCTATAAAATCTTTTCTATCAAAATAACAACAAATAGTTATAATAGCTTTATCGACTATTGATTCGATCTTTCTTGACTAAGTCGAATCAAATATGTTCTTAGACCTTCTTATTTATAATATTAAGAAAAATTCTTCTAAATTTTATTATACTTTTAAGTTTAAGTTTTTAAAAAAAATAATCTTATTTCAAAGGACTCTTATGTATTCTATAAGGTGAAGCAAAATTATAAGTTTTTCAAGTTTGTGACAACTTTTCAATTATAAGGCATTTTGGATATAATAAGACCTTGAAATTAATTTTAAAAGATTCTTGATAGCGTAATGTTTATATGGAAATTAAAAGTATTGTATAATTATGTGATATTTATTTAAGATCAAAAAATCCTCAACATCAACTTATTAAACTTTTTCAACCACTATCTATAGCAATACAACCATAGTATTTTATTTCTATAGATTTTATCATGGATTTTTTAATGTCAAGTACTTATGACTTTATGTTTATTATAGTAGATTATTTCACTTAGATAATATATTTTTATATCATATACAAAATTTATCACATATAAAGAAACATATATATTTTTTTAGCAATATTTATTGCTTTTATAGATTGCCAATGTATATTGTAGTTGATAAAAAGATCCAATTTGTATTGAAGTTTTGGAGAATTTTTTCAAGATATTGAAGTTTAATATAAAATTATCTTCAACTTTTCACCTTCAAATTGATAGACAAACAAAACATATAAATTAAGTTTTGAAGCAATCTTTAAGATGTAATATTCACTAATATCAAGATAATTGAAGAACTCTTTTTTTATTTGTAATTTTTTTATTCAATATTTTTTTTTACTAATTATGGTTATTATCCATAACTTAATATTTTTACTTTTTAAAAGTTAATAATCCCACAATAAAAGATTTAAAAAAATATTGATTAAAATTATATACAACAATGAAGGTACAATGAAAAGAAAATCAAGAACAATTAAAGATCAATGCAAATGCCTATTGCAAAGAACAACCTCAGTTTTACATTGGAAACAAGATATGATTACTTTGTTACAATATCAAGACTAGATGCCTTCTTGATAAATTAGAATATCACAGACTTAAATTATTTCTTATTTATAAAAAAATCAATCTATTTACTTATCAATTATACATATTAGAGTCTATAAAGTTCCATCATGTATTCTATATTTCCCTTTTTGAGCCATATAAGATAATTAATATCTTGAAAAGAAGACAAATATCATATCTTTTCATAAAAGTAGATAATAAATAAGAATTTGAGATCAAAGAAGTTTTAGACTTAAAGTGACATTGGGATATGTTAGAATATCTTATATATTGGTACAATTATGATGTTAGTAAATACACATGGAAGCCATCTAAAAAACTTACAAATGCAATAGAAAAGATCAAAACTTTTTATTGATAATATCCATCATTTATCTTTGATTTTATTTTCTTTTTATTTATGATATTAAAGAAATGGAGAATCAACAACCAAGGGATTCAATTTAAGATTTATTATTTTTCAAATTATTAGATAAGACATTGTAATTGTGACAACTTTTAAGATGATAAAATAAAGATGAAGTTCTTCAAAAATAACATGTTATTTTTTAAGTAGGTAACAAGATACAATAGATTTGGTATCACAACCTTAGAAGAGACTCTTAATGTTTGATAATATTATTGAAAGTAGGAACCACTCTTAATAGTATTTCAAATATTTTGTTTGAAAGAAGTTATGAAGGCCTCAACAATAATCAAATATTAAGGTGGTTTTTTTGCCGTACTATCAAGGATGAGAACTTGATGAAAGAAAATTAAAAAATAAGATTTTTTAAAATGAATATATATATATATATATATATATATAGAGAGAGAGAGAGAGAGAGAGAGAGAGAATGACTATTGCCAAAAGAGAAGAAAAATTAAAGACCCTTGAAACTTAACTAGAAGCAAGAAAGGAATTGGCAAGAGTAAAGAAGGCTTCATTCTTGCCTTTATATACATTATCTAAGTAGAAGTTATATGACAATATTTTATATGACAATATTTTATATTTAGAGTTCTTATAGAATATTGACATATATTTCTTAGTTAGATAATATATATAGAGGCAAAAATGAGGTCTTCCTCACTCTTGTTAATTCTTTTTTTACTTTTAATCTAATTTCAAGAATTTTTAGTTTCTTAGTTTTTGGCAATAGTCATTTTAGTTTTTTCTTAAATATACATATTTTCTTATTTCTTTTTTGTCATCTTTCTTTGAAAAACATCTCACTTGTTTATTTACAATCTTTGAGTTCTTGTCCTTGATACTTCATGGTTTCATAAAGTGAAATTAAAGATCTTAACAATAATTTGAAGGATTGTGTGTTAAAATTCCATACTTATTATAAAAAGACCATTAGATTGCTTAATCTGTACATTATTGTGCATCAAGTAATGTTTTCTATCACAAGGTGAGTGACACAAAACACACACATCCATAATATTTGTTTATTAAAGTGGAGGGGGAGGAAGAAAAGGAGCAAATTACATGGTGCATCAATGATGAAGAGGGGGAGGATGATATATGGATGAAGAACTATATAGTCAGGAGAATGCTTTGGTTGGATGGAAGATCTCTCTCAGGTAGGGTTTTAGAGGGGTCACTGCCCCCTCTCTTGGGTCACGTACGCTTGGTCCCACGCTCGCTCGGTTTCGCACTTGTTTCGTCGCGAGCTTGGTCTCTCACGTGGTTCACCGCGTGGTTACGGGGGGCGGGGGTTGAGGCGAGGTCGGACCGTGACCAAAGCCGCGGAGCACACTTGCAGCGAAAGCTTCCGGCTATGGTGAGACACGATGCGGCATGGCAATAACGACAACGCCGTGGCGGGACCCCTGCGTGGATGGATCTCTCGCTGTTGCCCCCTTCCTCTTCCTCTGCTTATGGTGATTATTGGATTTATCCTTTGCGCAGCTTGCCTCTTGACGATGTCTTCGTGACGGCCAAGCTGATGGCCAACCGTGTGAAACTTTGCCGGGACAATTCAGAGTAGGAATAGTATCGTGTATCTGCCAGATGAGTGCGAGGATGGCCCGTGCGACTGGTTTGGCCATGAGTCACTGTTGCTGCCGGCTCCTACGCCTTGTGCCTGTAGCTTTGTTGCTGAGGATTGCTGCCTAGGTGTGTTTTTAGGTGCTGAATAGCGAGGTTGCGAGGAGGTTGGCGGAAGCGGTGCGAGAGGTGTACGGGAGACGGAGTGCAGCAGGATGGGACCCGAGGATGATCTCCTGATTCCGCCTCTGAATTTTGCCATGGTGGATAAGGGGGTGTATCGATCCGGCTACCCTAACAAGAAGAACCTGCCATTTCTGCAAAAACTTCGCCTCCGTTCTGTTGTGTGAGTTTTGTTGCACTCTTTTCGCATTTTGATTGGATTTGCAAAGGTGCGGTGCGAGCTGGTTATACTGGCTGTGCAATGTCACTGTATTTAGTGTGCTGAATTTTGCTGCTGCGTTGGAATGTCACGTGCGGAGTCGACTATAGCTTATGAATGTCCTTTGTTCATTTTGATTTTGGTCATTACAACCCTCAATGTTCCGCATCAAACACAGATTTTTCATTTTGTTTTTGATTATTGTGAGTTTCGACGCTATGATTGCACTGATTCATTGTCGATACAAATCGTATTATATTCTTCTCATCACATATCTCGGATGCTATTATGATGTCTTTCCTTTGACCGAATTCTCCTATTTCAGTGAATACTTAGCGGAAAGGTTTAGTGCGTGGTATCCTTGTGGACTTCTCTTGGTCCTCGAAATACGCTATTGGTTATCGGAGATAGTGAAACTCGTGTCAGTACGAGTTTTGTCTTGCGAATCATTGTCCGCATCGGTAGCGCAAAGTTGTTTCCCGAGCGGCAGTATTCTCGGGAGTATGGAGGTGGAAGATGCGGAGAAATTAAATAAGATTTGCTCATTTGGCTAGCTTGTATGATTGTAATTGGAACTACACCATCAAAAATTCAGGATATGTATTTTTTATTTATAGAAATGCTGCACTTGGAGGACCTGGGCTCAAGCTATGGCATCTTTCAAGGACAATCCTGATTCATTTGTTCATGTGAATGACAGTTATCTTTGTCCTGAGCCTTATCCAGAGGCGAACATTGAGTTCATGGAGAAAAATGGTATCAAGATGTTCCACTTTGGAATTGAAGGCAACAAGGTGACAATTACTTCTTTCGCATGCTGTCATGAGTCACAACTCTGGTTAAGTTTCGTGGATTCTTGTCTACAAGCTAGTACAGTTTCGATTCGCTTTTATCTCACATCCCGGTACTTAATGTTGATGAATGGCCCAAACTAGCTACTTGCTATGTAATCGTGTCAAACTTCATGCTGTTGGCCTCTGAAGAGTAGGAGATTCGTGCATCTGGAAACTTACAGTTGATCATCGCTGTATTCCTCGGCTGTAGGATGTGTAGCTGGAGCTTGACACGCTGTAGAGTGATGCCAGAGGGACACTGTTAGTTTTACCTTGCAAGAGAATGGACATTGTATTTAAGCCGTGCTGTAAATGCTGCAGGAACCCTTTGTGGACATTCCTGAAAATGTCATACGAGATGCATTAAAGGTTTTGCTTGGTATGCCTCATTATTACATCATTATCTTTGCTATCAAAACTGACCTGGAAGTTGAGGGTCAGAAACGTCGATCTGGAAAGGCAGAGTGTCCTTATGTATTTCAGTGAGTGTCAAGTTAGTGTGTTAGAGTACTCATGTTTCAGTTTGATGGTGAATGTATTTTTGTCAAGGCACCATGAACATTTCTCTTGGGTATGCCGTACTTAATTTTTCGAATGACTGGAACTATTGTGGGAGTTTTGAACCAGATGTGAAGAACCAGCCTATTCTTATTCATTGCAACAAAGGAAAGGTACGTAGTATATCCTTTCAGTAAGCAGGGTTTATATCAGCAACTCTAGTTTGGGTTTTTGTAAACTGTGCCGTGATTGACAGGGATATACATTGGATGGTTTGCAGCATCGCACGGGTTGTCTTGTAGGGTGTCTCCGAAAAGTACAAAATTGGTCATTGACGTCTATTTTTGACGAGTACCGTCGCTTTGCTGGTGCCAAAGTACGGATGCTGGATCAACAGTTCATGGAACTATTCGACATTTCTACTTTCAAGCAGACTGGAAGAACCTGGCTCTATGCCCGGACTCGTCAGCGAGAGGACAAGCTTGCTATCACTGCTTCTTGACTTGAATTCCATTTTTCTTGAGTTTAAATCTGTTTTCCGCGGCATTTGAGTGATCAATTGATCTTATCATTTCGACTTGAATGATGTAGTTTCATAACATAAAATTCTTGCAATCTAGTGTGGCATAGAAGTGGCTGCTCATGGCCAATGTAGAGGGAAAACTCCCTTATATAAAAATGACTTAAGTGGGATGTACTTTATGTACGAGCCTTGCCTTTGTTCTTCTGAGCATTCTCGAAATATTGGTAGGATTGCCACATGGTGCAGGAAGATGTAAAATCTCAGCAGAGCTTGATATGCATGGTTACCATTGTTTCCTCACCTGAAGCAACGTTTCTATGTCGTTCAGAGGATTGAGTATGTCTTCATTTTTGCGACATTTTCATTACACGGGCATGAATTTGTGGTCGAGTACCCACGAAGCTCAACTCTGATCTGTCATCCCATATCTGTCGATTCCTGGACTTCATGTTGATTTAAAACTGGTGCATAAGTCGGCCAATCTGCTCCACCGTTGTCTCGCTCTCTTGTTTGGTGAAATCGAAGCTTCTTCCCTGAGGTTCAAACTTCAAAGTCTTGTCGGTTTTGGTCAAAATGACGATACTCCCTATCAGTTGAATTACATGAGGAGACTAGTTTGCATGAGCGCATCTAATTCCAGAAGAATCCAAGCGCATGAAAGATTTAAAAGATAGTTTGGTGACGTACATGACAATCCACTCTTGGAACGATTTGACCACGTAGTACTTGGAAAATCCATTCAATGATTTGACCTGACACATCAATCAGCACTGGGAAATTATTATTATTCTCCTTCTTCTGAGAATTTTATTCTTTAATGACATATTCGGTCAATTCATACTAAACATTATCGTTGCACTTTGTCACCTCATGGAAAATGTCAACTCATGGCCATTGTTTATATACATATATATATATATATATGTTTATAAATGTAACTATAGCTTTTTTTCAAAACCACTCAGCAGTAAAACAAACATAGATCAAAGCAAAGCCACATTTCTAGTCGTAGACACCAGTACCAAGCAGCAATGCTGTGCATGCTAAATTAGGGCATTAAAGGCATCATCACTACTTCATTGGAACAATTCTGCTGCAAAAATCCCACTCACTACATGAAACGACACCAATGAAAAATCACTTGACAATGTTTAAAAGAGCTTTCAACCAAATAGTAGTGACGGCTAGGTGGAGTTTCTCAAGTAAGATCATTGATAAAGGTACCAACCTATGCTGTCAAATATGCCAAGAGTGAGCGTATTTAAAATCTGTAACTTGACAGATTTGTAAATGTTTTGTGTTTCGTGTTTTTTCTTTTTTTTTACAAAAGTAGAAGTAAAAAGTTGCACTTCAGTTATCCATGTTTGCTTTTAAAACTATAGTTGTGATTAATTGTTCAATCATGGGGTCAGTCTCTGCAAATGAAGAGATTAGAACCAAGCTGTCATTGCTCAACGAGATTTGCTTGCCCGACCTGGTGAAGCACTCAACTTCAGGTGCGTGGCATAATTTACTAAACTGAAAAAAATGGTACAACAATGGCTCCAAGAATCGGAATTAGAAAGGAAACAACTCGAAAACTAAACTAGTGAGGGCCGTGCATCATGGCTCCCCGCTGATATCCGTCCCTCGACAACCTCGGCAGCTTCCACACAGCGATGATCCCTGCAGCCAACGCAGCCAGAGCAGCGAATCTAAACGCTGGCTCGTTGCCACCGCCAAACAGTGCATCCCATGGCCCAGCTCCTAGTGCTACAATAGTCTGTGGAATCACCACAGCAAGGTTAAGAATACCCATGGCAAGGCCCTGCCCTCCACCTGAGTCTGTCGTTAACTCAGCTGTTACAGAGTATGGTACACTGTATGTTATTGCCAACGGAAAGCCAAGCACTGTGAATAAGATCAAAGCTGCCAGTCTGTTCCATGAATGCTGCTTGGGCCCATCTGAAGTCGACACAGTCATCGTGATGAGCCCCGTTAATGCCATCGCCAGAAAAACGATGAAGTTGCCAAGTGCCCACAGGTTTTTGGATCCCATCTTCTGGCACAGGAAGTCGATGAACAGGGAGCTGATTCCTAAAACTACTGAGTTCAGCAGCAGGCCAAAGGCACCCTCCTGAACCCCACGCCCATAAGCCGCCACTTGTTCAGCGCTGCCGTTGGGGTCACCTTCGTAGACCTCACGTCCCATCCAATCTGTGTCAAAAAGAATGAAGGGAAACCAGGCGAGCCAGCACAGTGCCATCACTACGAGCACAAATCGCATGGAAGTGGGGAGCTTGCGGACACCGAGAAGGAGGTTCATCATCACGGAACCCAACCCTTTACCGACGCCTTCCTCGACTGGAGGTCTTGGCTCCAAAAACCCGTGATGATCCTGTTCAGTCACGACATGGAGGATGTGCTTGGCCCCCTCATCGGGTGGTTGAAGATGGGGTTGATCTAAATCGACAGAAACTAAGGTCACGTCATGTAGCGTGATACCGCCCTCCTTGTTGAGCAACAAAGGTGCAGAATCTTCGTGTTCTAATTTACTGTCAGCCTCTGCATATCCAATTTCTTGCCCTCTTTGTGCTAATTGCTGCTCCTTCACTATCACACCAAGGGAAGTTTCCTTAGCCGCGATCATCGTGACAACAGTGCAGATGGCCAAAAACAAAATAGCCAAAAGGAAAGCTGCCTTGAGATTCGCGCAAGGAGCGCAACACGCTTTACTAGTGAACGCAGGGAAGATCTCGTGCCAACGCCCATACGCTCCAGCTGAGAATCCGAGGATGTTGCCCAGAGCCATCCACAGGCAAAAAATAGCATTCGCTGCATCTATTTGATCAGAAGCTGAAAGATCCGCTAACAACGCACGCGCAGGACCTTGCACAGTGTTGTTGGCAAGATCCAGCAGCCAGAACCCTAGTACAAACACACCTACAGCCCGAGAACGCACGCCCTTGAAAACTTGGCAATCCTCGTGCGTGTCCCCGAGAATGTAACCAATGTCGGCAGCGAAGCCAATAATCGTCACCGAACACATGATCATCACCACTCCCACACCAATGAAGGGTCTTCTTTTCCCCCACTTGGATGTGCATTGATCGCTCCACATGCCAATGCACGGCTGCACGACCAGCCCCGTAATTGGCCCACACAGCCAGATGAAGGAGGCCATCGCATGCTCGATGCCGAGCATTTGAATGTAGGGTGTGAGCAAAGACAGCTGAAGCGCCCAACCAAACTGCACACCGGCTGCCACCATGGATGCCATCGCCAGCTTGAACAACCCTAATCGTTTCGCCTCCTCCTTACTACTACTACTCCACAGTGTCGCATCCCACTGCTCTACCCCATTCTCACGCTCAGTTGCTGGCGGCCTCTGGTACTCAAACTTCGATGATCTCTGCTTCTCCCCATTCGACAACGACGACGACAACACGTTGTCCTCTTCGATATCAACCGTGGCTGCCATGATCGCCAATTGAAACGACCCAGGGAGATCCTCCACCGCGGCCCGCTCGACGCCAGGCATGGCTGGACGAACCCCCAACAAACACACTCACCAACAGATTCCAAACCTACCTTATTAGAATCCTCGGATCTTTCACCCCGGCACATTCACAGCTCTTCTTCTGCTGCTGTGAGCCACCTCCATACACTCTTCTCCCACACTCACCACCACCACACATCCTCCTCGCACCATCCATTCCCCCTTCCTACGACTACTACTACTACTACTCATCCCTCCTCCTCCTCAACATCGTCACAATCCACCACTTTCCCACTCTCTCCCTCCCTCCCTCGCAACTCACCACCACATTCTCCACTTCCACCCCTCCAAACTAACTTCACACCCGCCCAACACTTCCCAAATTCACTTTTCTCCCAGTCCCATTTGTTCTCCGCCACGATCTACCTCCTCGTCGAACCCCCAGCTTCGACCCAGAACCTAGATCCCACACCAGAGCTAGAAAATTCCACCCAAACCCATGCAAATGCAGTGCAAACACCGTCGCAAAGACAAAAATCCCAAAAACTCTGACAACCCAGATCGATGCACAAGGGCAAGGAAAGAAAAGGCGACGCGCTCAGCTGTAGGGTTGCGAGGAATTTGCCGAAGAGGAGTTAGGGTCGCGTGAATTACAACAATGGCGCATGATTGAGAGCGTGAATTCGTTGCCCTTTGTGTGAAGTGAGGTTGGGGGCTGCTGCTTCTCCGCTCCCTCCCTCCCTCCCTCAGCAAGGCCGCAGTCTCCGCTCCTTTGCCACTTCAGCATGCCACGTGGACACCTTTGGGTGGTGATGACGTGGCCCACACCATTCAGCCCAATCACGTACCTCCGTCGTGAATCCCACTTTTACGTCCACGTTTGCCTCTTTCGTTGATTTGTGGGATGAGAAATGTGGCGTCGTCCAATCCGACGACGGATGATTTGTTGGGGGTGACGGTCGTCGTCGCGTCGTTTTCCGTTAGTTGTTGTGGATGAACGGTGTTCATCTATTTGTTAGGACTCGTTCAGCACAAGCTTTTACTTTTGAACTGCGTTTATGGAATTAAAAGTATTGGGGCCCTAATACTTTTTGGCGAGGTGGGAATTAATTGCTACGTGGAGTTTTTCAATAATTTTAATTAAAACATTAAACTGCAGAAATCAACAGTGAGTTTGGAAAGTCACTTTTCCATTCAACAGACCATATCCTTCAAAAACTATGAAAATCAACTCACAACACTTGTTTTTAAATATTCCCGTATTAAGAAAAACGATTATTTATACCATATATATATATATATATATATAATTATTATTCCCGAAAATCAAGGAATTAAACATATGCTCTTATATATCTTTTAGAAATACATTAGGGATGCTTTGAAAACATAATCATAAATTCACCTTAAAAATAAAAATAAAATGCAATAGAATTACAATAGATTAATTTTTCCCTTGAATTGCATTATTTGTAGCTTGGGTCATTCGATTTGACATTGCAATTGCATTTTTCAAGAATGATTTCTGTTTCTGCAGATACTCTGATAACTACAATATATCCAAACAACAGAAAAACATTACATTTTAAAAAAAAACTTGAACCCCATTTTTATTTATAATCATGCAACATAAGTTGTAAATAAATTTTATAGATAATCTCCCTCCCCCTTCTTCTCTCTCTCTCTCTCTCTCTCTCTCTCTCTATATATATATATATATATATATTTGTTTTATTTTATTTAAGAAGTTAAGTTGATAACTCATCATATTTGTTTATATTTTATATGAGAATGATATATATATATATATATATATATATATATATATATATTTTGTTGGTTTACCTCATCTATAGTTCCGTCTACATAGGTCTTATAAGTATGGAACATATTTTTCTTGTGACAAACTTTGGAATAGTGTATTGTATTCATTTGACAAAGTTTTGTATTCATGAGACTCCTATTCTCAAGCAATAAAAAAAAATATCAAGAGATATATATACATTAAAGGAAATCTAAAAATATTGAAGTTTTAAATCTATCTTATATTGTATATTTTTATATTTTTGTACTTAGATAAACATAGATTGTGTTTACAATGGGGGCACTCACAAAGTGGATTCATTGCTTTTCAAAGTCAAATGCGCTAAATGCAACATTTGTTTTTCCAATCTTTTTTGTGACGATTTAATTGTTCTATTTTCTTCATTTTTAAACTGATCCTCGTCCACATCTAGAAATAGATTATAATTATTATTATCGTTATTAATTTGAGAGGGTTCTCCAGAAAATATTTCTTCCTCAATAACTTCTTTTTTGGTTAAATTATTAGATGAATTCTGAGATTGCATTTGAATTTTAATATATGTGGATACAATCTCGATCATATTTCTAATATTTTTTGATATTTTTTTGGCTTCCATGTACCATGAGTCTTGGTTTTCTTCGTTATTACTTTGAGAATTAATACTTTGAACCGGTATTGTCTACAAAATGAACAAAAGTTTATTCAAATGTTTGTGCCAATGTTCAAACATGATGATAAAATTTTATTTTATTAAAAGCACTCTTTTTTAATGTGTATTTATATTCATCAACTATAGTGTTTCTGAGCATTCTACATATACTTTCACAAATTTTTACACTAATTTGAACACATATTACATAATAGTAATATTTTTATCAAATTTATTTAAATTAAAACTTAAATTTATTATACTATCCTATGAATAAAATAAAATGCTTAGTTTAAAAGTATTTTTTTTATTTTTTTCATGTTTATTTTAATCCAAGTAAAATGTAAGTGATGTCATTAACTGTATTATCATTCAAAAAAATTGTATTATAAAAAACAAATTGAGAAGGACAAAGAGATGTAATATTTATGTATATTGTATTTCCTTTTCAATTTTTTTGTGAATGGATCCTTAGATGTTAAAATAAGATAATCATATGTAAAAATATAATAGATAATATTTAAATAATAATAGCTTTACATATATATTATAATTATAAGTGTATAAATAGATATATTTTTACATAATGTAAATCAACTTAAATCATTATTTTAGAATTCATACATAGAGAGCTTGTGGGTGTTTGTGTAAGATTTGTAGCTCCTTGTTTTTTTCACATATAAAAAAATCTATTTTGGCTTGTATTTCTTGTAAATATTGCTCCAAAGTTTGCAACTATTTTGACATTAAATAAGTACATCAAATCTAATGAATTTAAAATATGTCTAATAGAGAATTGGAAAATGTTGAATTAAAAATATTGTACCTCATTTCTTGCACTTAGAATTTGAATATTTGTGGGTGGGTTTTTTATTTGAATGCTTGAACTTGACTTCAAGTAAGTTTCATTTATGAACTCATTTCCTCCATTGTCTACAAGTAGACATAAATTAACATCTTGGTCAATGTTCTTTGCTTTTGTAATTTGTGTAGAATTTTGTTCCTTAAAACCAAAAACATTTGTGATTATTTAAAAGGTTATAAAAATGATAATTGATGCATGAATCAAAGATTTTTTTGCATAAATAAATTCTCCATAAATAAACCATCCATAAAGTAATATGTAAAATATGTATTGAAAATATATATATATATATATATATATATATATCCTTCACATAACTAATCATATATATGTATATATTCAAATCACCATATCTTATTAATAATTATTAAATGACATCAAAACATATTTATAATATTTATATGCTATTTTATTCAGCTTTTGGTAAAAATTAATCTAATAAACTATTAAAATCTATAAAATATAAAATCCACAAATAGAATTGTTATATAATTATTCATTCTCTTTACAATTTTGATACACATTTAAAATATAAGATTCTTACATCATTAAAGTTTGTGGCATTTTCATCTTTATTATTCTCACTAAGGATTTCTTTTTGTTGAGTTGTATCTTCCACCTCTTTATTATTTAACACAAATGTATGAGGATTTGCGGAAGAATATGTTTCCTTCTTGTTCCATTTGATCTCAAGGTCCTCAAATTTGTCATCTTTAAAATCTAGTATATTCTTCATGCTTTCTTTTAGTTTTGAAATTTCAAGATTTATTATTTCCAATAGTTTGTCATTAGTATTCAATGTTTTATTATTGCAACTTGTGATAGTTTCTAAACTCTGAGTTATTTTCTCTTCTCTTACTTTTGTAGATATTTTTGGGTTTTGGAGCTTATCAACTTTTGTTTCAACTTTTTTTATGAGCTTTTTCAAGTTTTCACTCAAATCATCTTGATTATGGTTATTTTCTTTTAAAGATGGTTCATGTTCAATATCTTTGCTTGGAGCCAAAGTATTTAATCCTTCATTTTCATGTCTTTGATTATCTCTATTATTTTTAAGTAATTTTGTATTAGAACTTTGAAAGTATTGCAAGTGATCATGGATGGTTCTACATTCATCCTCTTCTTCTTCTTTTGGTATTAGAACTTGATCCAAGTTGTCACCCTCTACTTTCAAAGCTTCTTTCTCTACTTTGCAACTTTTGGTGCTTTTGTTGTAATTCTTATAATTAAATTCTAGTTGTTCCTAATTTTTTTTTAAAAACTATCAATTTAGATTTATGGATTAAAAAAATATTAACTAATATTAATATGTTTAAATATGATATCATTTATTTAATGCAAAACTTTACCATTATTTATAACTAAATATTTATTAAAATAAAAAATTAATTAATATTTTAACATGTTTAACTTTATTGGTTGTTTGAAACTTATAATAAGAGAAGAATTTACCAAAATTAGATTATCTTTCTTCACTTCACTTGGACCATCTTCAAAATCTAATATTGACAACAATCTTTGTGAATCTAATGAAAAAACATGGCCATTTGTTGTTATTGAAGGTTTTTTGTTTAAACCTCCTTCATTCATTGAGGAACATTCTAATTTTGAAACTTTGGTTTTCTTTAATGTATTTTTTTCACTAAATTTTATGGTATTGTGGAATCCATTATTTCCATGCAATTTGTTTTTAATCTTATTCTGTTTGTTATTAGCTAATCTTAATTCATGCTCTTGCAATGCTTCATATAAATCTTGATATTGTAATTGGTTGACCTGTTTAATATTTGAACTTTTCATGTTATTGCTTTGACAAAGTGATGAATATATAAACAATTTTTCGGGTTTGTATAGAAGGGATTTTAATTTTAAGTTTTCATTATATGTTGTCAAAAAATCATAAAATTCTTCAGGTGAAGGGCTTGGGATTGTTTCGTGATTAGAGAGATTTTTTATGTTGTTAGAAATACTTTTGTCACATGATCCATTCTTTTTGTTCAGATGATATAATTGATGTGTGCTTTTGGCTGATTTAAAACTTTCAATTAGTGCTTTATTTTTCACACTTTTACTTTCTGTATCATTTTGTAAACGTTCTAGTTCATATATTTTATTGGGATAGTTTGAGATGTTTTTCTCCTTTTTAATTAATAAAGACTCGTTTCTTTTTTTAATCAAGATTTTTGGATTAATGCTAATTTTTTTCTCTTTACTTTTTGATAAATATTTTTTTCTTTTTTTGATTGGATTGTTTGGATTTTCGTTTGTTTCTTTTCTATGAGATTTCATAATGTTCTCTGTACTTTGATCTTTCATGTTAGTATTATTTTCTATTAAATATGATTCTTTCAAAGAATGTTTATGGGTTTGTGATCCTTCATCTTTTGTG